GATGACACCTCTTTATTCCTCAGTGCCACAGCTTGTCCACAGCAGTGGAAGTACTTCTGGACTTACATATTAAACCTGTTTCCCAGTTAAAAGATAGCCCCTATTGGAAATATGGAACATTAATAAAATAGCATTTTTTCTTTGGTCAGATTTTATTGGAACATTTTAGATGGACATAATAATCACATTCATCATAGAGAATTTGTCCTTTTACATGAGATAACTTGATTCTTTGCTTTCCATTCCCCTCCCCTCCCTTAGGCCCTCTTCCTTTCCCCATTTACAAAAGCTGTGTCTCCATTTTTTTTTCCTTCTCTTTTAAAATTTTCTTTCTTTCTCCCTCCCTTGTTCCCCTCCTCATTTGAATGTTTTCTGCTATTTCACAAGTAAAATAGTATTTCGGTCATAAGCTTTTTTACTTTTAATTTGTAATGTTGGAGACTGAATCCAGATGCTTGTGCCTACTAAGCATATACTGTACCGTTAAGATCAAAAAGGCTTCAATAATTGAGAAAAATGTATTTTTTCTTCATCCAGCTTGATTTTTAGATTTTTTTTTCCCCCAAAAGTGAGAATTGAACCTGGGGCTGTCATGCCTATGATCTACCAGAGTTGCCTCCCCAGCATGAGAATAAAAATAAATGTTAATTTAAAAAAAAAAGAAATTGTGAGGCCAAAAGTCAAGATGCTGGAAGATTTGGTGTCTGGTGAGGCTCTATTTTATTCTGAAATTTATTTCTACTTCAAAATTCCAGTAATTTCAAGTTCACTTTACTTGTTCTAGAACTTTTTTCCAAATAGAAATCTTTAGAGCTAAAAGTTAATTCTCTCTAATAGTAAGTGTTTGATGGGAGAATAAGTAATAAAAGTAACAGAATTTCTCTTTCTTTGTAACATTGCGTTTTCTTTATAATCCTCAGAAATAGGAACAATATCTTTAAAACCTAATTTTTTTGACTTATTTGTATTCCTAAAGATAAATATAAATTGATGCAATCCATCACTTAACTTCACAATTTTTGTTATTTTTTTAACTTCACAATTTTTAGTCCATATGCAGAGTCCTCATTTGACAGTACTGTTTTTTCTACATTTGTGTCAATTTCAGAGTTACCCTGATGAACTATTGCTAATAGTGATAATTATAAAAATAAAATGTACAAGTATTATCTGTTATATCCTTGACTAACTAGATGTAATCTCAGAAACAATTCAGAAAATTGAGTAATCTGCTTAATCTCACACATGTATGATGATTGCCAAGTCCTGGCTTCCATTTTAGAACCGTGTGTGTGTGTGTGTGTGTGTGTGTGTGTGTGTGTGGTCTTACTGGGAATTGCACCCAGGACCTTCACATTGACTCTCCTTACTTTTCAACAGAGCATTGCTAAATTGCTCAGGTTGGGCTCCCACCTGCCTCAGCATCCCCAAGACTTGAGACTACAAGCACGGACCACTGTACCCAGAACATAGATTGTATTTTGACATAATTTGAAAATAATTGTGGCAATCTAACAGGGGAAAATCAGACCTAATTATAACTGTAATATTAAAAGAGAGACTTCAGGGGTCGGGGAAATGGCTCGGTAGAATAAGCGCTTGCCTGGCAAACACTAGCGCCTGAGTTCAAAACCCGGTTGCACACACACACACACACACACACACACACACAAATTAATGTATTATAAAAGAGAGACTTCAACAGTACTAATCAATAGAGAAATGCCAATCAAAACCACAGTGGGTACCATCTCACACTTATTAGGATGGATATTGTAAAAGAAAACAAACCACAGGCCAGGAGGTAGAGAAGCCGGAACACTTGTGTGGCAGAGCTGTAACGTGGAAAACGGTTCCGTTTTGAGTGGTTCCTTAAAAAGTTAAATGTAGAAATGCCATGACCAGTAATTCTACTCCTGGATGTGTGTCCTGAAGAAATGAAGGCTGAGACTCAAGAAAATATTTCTGTGCTAATAGTGCTTGGGCAGGATATCATGTCTGCATCTTGTACTATGAGTAACTACAACGAAGACAACAATATGCCATGTATTAATTATTGTAACTGTCCTACCAACCTATTTTGAAACTGTCTCATTGCTATTTGTTTCTCAATAAAATTAATTTAAAAGAGAAAATATTTTTTTGCCCATGTTCACAGCAGCAAAATAGTTAAAACATAGAAACAATCCAAATGACCATCAGTGGACCAGTGGGTAAAGAAAATGATGTATACATACAATGGAGCTTAGCCTTTAAAAGCAAGAAGTTTGGACATGTGGGCTGTGGCTTGACTGTACCTCCTCAAAATTCATGTTTAAATCCTGATGCCTCCATGTGATGGTATTAAGAGGTGGTGCCTTGGGGTTGCTTAGATCACAAGGGCAGAGAGCTTGAGAATAGGATTAGTCCCTTTATAAAAGGGACCGCAAGAAAGGCTTGTGCATCTTCTGTCATGTGAGCACACATCTGGAGGGCACTGCCAATGAACCAGAAAATGGACCCTCAACAGATTATCAAACCTGCCAATGTCTTGATTTTGTGCTTTCAAGCCTCCTGAACTATGAGAAATAAGTTTCTGTTGTTGGTAAGATACCCAGTTCATGGTATTTGGTTATAGCAGCCTAAACAGAGTAAGGTAACATGACAACTTGGACAAAAATTAAAGATTATGATTCATGAAATAATCACAGTCAGTGCTATAAAATACAAAAAGTTCTAGAGAGGGACAGTGGGAACAGTAGCACAAAATGGGTGTTCTTAACACTACTAAACTGTACCGCTGAAACATGATGAAAATGACAACGCCCGAGTCCTTGTTTCCTAGAAGCTTGTTCTAGGGTGTGTGTGTGTGTGTGTGTGTGTGTGTGTGTGTGTGTGTGGTGTTACTGGGAACTGAACCCAGGGCCTTCACACTGAGCTAGATCTCCAGCTCCCACTCCCTTATTTTGCAATAGGATCTTTCTAAGTTGCACAGGCAGGGCTCCAATTCATGATCCTCCTGCTTCAGCCTCCCGAATCCTGAGGCTACAGGCATGAGCTTGTACCCAGCTTGTTCATAACTGCAGACCCAGGCAGCCAGCTATCTGCTGAGTCCCCCTCCCAGCGCTTATTGAAGGTATCAGCTTCAATGTAGCTGATCTTCCTCCTCACTGCCTCTCCCATGTCCTCCTCTCCACTGACCCTCCTCCAGGGTCCTCCCCTCAGTGAGGAGCACCCCTGCCTCATTTCATTTCCCAGCTACCAAGTCTCAGTTGTTCTAGCTGACCTAGCCTTCGTCTTCGCCAAATGCTTCCAATGGGTCTACCAGCACTGCCAACTCTCTCCTGCCTGCCTCTCTGGTCCTTTCCCTTTTCTTTGTCTAGGCTGCCACTGCTCAGGCTCTCAGCTTCTCCTCACACCCACCTATCCAACACTGCTGCACAGCAAACTACTCTTGGCCACCACTGAATTACAATCTTTCATCTCTTCTCTCATATTAAGACCAAAACTCTCTAGCATGCAGCAAGGTCTTAACTGATTTTCCACAAAGCTTGCTTCTGTTCGCGGTGCCTCAAACTTGTGTGTCATTCAGAGAGCATTCATGCTGGGTAAATCTCAGTTGAATCCCTCTTTATCATCAGTTGTTTTTAGTCTGGTCTTTCTCCCTTTCTAGTCTTCTCTTCCATCACTTTCCCACATGCTTCACACCAGCCATGCCACACAGCTTGTGCTCTTCCTGGGCAGGACAAGATCTTCTTGTCTCCCAATCTTTGCACTGCTACCTTGTTGGATCCAGAGCAAAGTGCTAAATCTTGTTAGGCTTCAGATTTGGCATCTGTAAAGCATAGCAGATATCTGCCATGCAAAATTGTAGTGAGGATAAGATATGCAAAAGCACTTTGTAAATCCTAAATGTGCTATAAAATATTATTTTATAATTTACCAAAATCTTTCTGAAATATCACTACCTACAAGGAGCCTTTATAATAATATCCTAGGCGGAAACTATTTTTCTCTTCTTGGAGGTCCACCAAACACACGCTAACAGCCCTCTTGCCAAGCAACACTCCTGAAGCTGTCCAAGTTATGTGTCATATTTACAACCAGACCATGAATTCTAACCAACCCTACTCTACAGTTCTCCTTCCACCTCATTGAAGTCACAAGGATTTTAGAATACTTCAAAGAGAAAACAGTCTGAGATTTGAAGAGGTAGAGATGAAAGTTCCACAGTGAAGCATCATCTGGGCTGTCTCTTGGAATCACAGATCGATCACACGATAAAGACTTTACTTAGCAACACAAGCCTGCTGAGCTAGAATGACAATAACTAACCTACCTGGCACCTTTCCTCATGCCCAAGCCAGTGGCAGACATTGCTAATTGACTGTAGATGACTCTGCTGAGCAGGGGGTGTTCCAGTGGCTCCCCAACCCCCCTTGTAACCCCCCCAATGGCTTTTCAACAAAGCTCCAGGCAGCTGTGCCTCATTGATCAGCTGGCCTAGAGTCACTCTAGAGCAATAGAAACAGCCATGAAAGAAAGGAGCTGCTTCCATCATGGTAAGTGAGTTGATGAGACTTGAAGGGGGCAGTCAAACCCTGGTTGCCAAGTCATGTTAGGCTATTGTGAAGACCCGGCTTATAACGCAAAGCAATTTTGTAGCAAACTTGAAGGTCAGAGATGTCCAAAGGCCTCTATCTCAGAAACCCTGGAACCACTCTGAGGGGCAGTTCCCTGGGCTCTCAGTTTCCCATGCAAAACCCCACCTGGGTTCCCTTAGTGCTCTGCCATTTGTGCCTTTCAGGGCTCCCTTTCTTCCTGAAAAGCAGCCAACACAGAGTCTGCCTCCTCTCCCTGACAAAGGACTTATGTGTAATTAAAAGAGATTATGTTTGTAGGGGAAAACTAGCCTCTAATCGCCAAGAGAAGGACACGGCAGCCTGAGCCAGAGGTGCTCTGAGTGACATTTATGTTGCTTGCTGTCCATGTTCCTCAGCTCTGGGTGAACCCCTGGCCCTACTGTGACCACTGCCATGGGCTTTGCCAGACAGACACAGCTTTTGCTCTGGAAGAACTGGACCCTGCGAAAAAGGCAAAAGGTAATGGCTGCTGCCTGTAGGTAGGCCACAGGGGTGCAGCAGACAACAGGTGGAGAGTGTGGGGGAGGGCTGGGTCAGGGGAGGACGGTGAGGAGTTGTGGGCTGTTGCTGTTCTACTCTGAAGCAGTGTTTAGCAGTTTGGCCTCTCTGTGAGCCACTCCGACAAGCGCCCTACATAGGATGACAGGCTTTTCTGTCCTTGGTCACATCCCAGCCTTTGCCCCTTTTCCTGTGAGTGAGTTCCTTGCCTGTCCCTCTGTCTGTGTCAGGCACCCCGTGTTCCTGGTCACCCACACTATGCAGTGAGAGGAACCCTGAGCTCTGAAAAGCAAGCTCAAAGCCAGCCAAGAGCCTCTGTTCGCTCCGCAGTGCAGAGAAAGCTGCTTCATTGTTCTGGGTGGTACTCTGTGTTCTCACATTTTATTTATTTATTACTTATTTATTAGTACAGGATCCCACTGCACAGCTCGGCCTCCTAGCAGTCCTCCTGCTTTCAGCCTCCCCCACACTGTGACTACAGGTGTGTACCACCACGCCCGGTCTTGGTGGACGGCTCAGTGCACCCAGGGGCAGCGCCAGCACAGTACATGGTGCCCTGAGCTTGCCTAAGCAGGTGCTTAGTCCTCTGAGCTATCTCACCCGCCCTGTGATCTCACATTTTAAAGTCTCTGAAATTGGAGTGCAGCTAACAATCAAGTCATAGTTTAACCAGATATATTTTTTCCTTCTTTGAGGTGTACCCTAGAACTGATGGATGCCTCTTCGATTTAGCAAGTGCGATGTTTTATGTGGACATTTTCTGAGCCTCTTTCATGAACAAACATGGGGCTAGGCTGGAGTAGGGGCCTAAAAGCAGAAGACCCACATTCCCTCTTGGCCCAGCCTCTCTAATGGCTGGGGAAATGTGAAATACGTTTTGGGGTCCAGAGCAAAATAAAAGGCAGAGGTCAGGCGTCCTCTGAGAAAAGCAAGTGAGAGCCACAGGAGGCCAGGGAACCCCAAAAGAAATATAAATGCAACTGGCCTTTGTATAATTTTTCTGGGAGGGGTGAGGACTGAATATATAACTATAAGGAAACAATGTGCTTTGCTACAGCCTTGCAGGGTCCTGCAGGCAGCAAATGGCTTGAGGAGAAGGGAGGGGGGACGTAGAGCATGGGTGAGGGAAAGGAACTGGCCGGGGGCCAGGGAGGGCTGAAATTGGAAAGATGGAAAAACAGACTGGGGGGAGCACAGGAAGGGAGACCAGCTACAGCTAAGAACAGAATAACATTTGTCCCAAACCTCAGTTTGGGATGGTTCAATGTAGGGGTTTCTGGGATATCAGGAGTGCTGTGAATGCCAGCTGGCAGGCAGAGCAAGGGACCCAAAGTCTTGGAGCAGCGTCCACTCAGAGAGACCTGAATATAGAAAGGTGTTAGCGAAGCACAAAGCTTATCAACTGAGCGGGTGACAGAAAACACCAAGGCGTCCTGGCGATGGACTCGCAGGATTCGGCTACCACCCCAGAGCTGAAAGAAACTCAAGGAAGAAAAGACAATTATTAAGACAAAACAAAGAACTGAAATGAGGGCTTGTGAGGAGGCTGTCCAGGGTCTCTGAGGAGGTCTTAGACCCACCTAGACCCAACTCTGGCTGCTGAGTTTGAAACCCAGAGACACTGATGTAAGAAGCAGCAAGAAAGGGAGCAGCAAGGGCCACTCCCCTGCGCACACGGACGGCTCAGAGGCCTGTGGGTGGCTGTCAGGACAGGGAGGCTCAAGGGAGAAGGCCAAGTTAGAACTCGCTTGTCTGGGGGACACCATTGTCCCTAAGCTACAGCAGCACTCTGTCAGGGTACTGTCATTCCAAGTGATATATGAGGTCATCTGTCACCACCTAGAACCAAAGGCTCAGTCCCTTCCAGGAGCTTGCCTTCTTTTGAATGAACATATTACAAATAAGACCCATGGTTAAATCTATTCATTACTTTTCACTCAATCAACAAACACCGTTTAGCAGGAAATGCCAGGTGCTGAATACACAGCAGCAAATAAATGATCCAGGCCCTGTCCACATGATGCATGGAGTCTGTGGAATGCCAAGGGACATTCAATCAGCCATTGCTTTTTGTCTCTCTCTGTTATCTCTTCCTCTGCCTGTCTCTCCTTGTCCTCTCTTTCCTCCTCCCTGTCTTCCCCCTCTGTCTTATAAGGAACTAAAATTCATAGTTCATTTCACTTTCAATGTACACTTCATGGCTCTCAAAAAAAATATACCTGAGCCTTGAAGCTGCTGTCCTTCAAGGACTTCACTCCCTTGCAAGCACGGGGCTATTACAAAGAACTCCATTTCTAAACCAGGTTTGGCTCAGGTGCCCTCGGAATCCACTGTCTTTGCTTGGCATTGGCAGGTGTCCCCTGTTCAAGAACTCTGTCTTTTCCACAATGTGCTCCCTACTGGGATGGAGCCACACAGGCTGCAAACCTCAGCGTGAGGCCACCTCCCCTGCCCTGGCGGGCCCAGTCCAGGCTGGCCATCCTTGGATGCCATCCTGATGCCCTGGCAAGAGAGATCTCTGCTGCTCCTCCTTGTGGCCACCATATCTAGGAGTGTCCAGCACGGAGTGTCTGGGCGGGATGTCACCCCCAAGACAGGCATCCTTCAGAGCCCCCAGCAGCTCTGAGAGGGCTCTGCGGCTCCTTCCAAAGCTTTTGGCTCTTATTAGAGCTTCTGCTTTTGGAAAACGCTCATTATAGGAAGAATACATCACATTTGTCCCATAACTTAACTTTTAAGTTTTTTAATTCCTCAAATTTCCATGGTTTTAGAAGTTTACTCTTGTAAGCGGAGTAGGTGAAAACACATGCTAAACTTCCCATTCTCCTCTTCCAATCGCAAAGATATGATATGGAGGTCTTCGGGTTCCTGCTCTCCACTCTCTTTTTCTTTTTTCTTCCCTGTTAAAATTTATCAAAAATATTACTAAGAGCCTGGCACAGAACTGAATTGCTTACTTCATTTGACACAATGATTCCAGGAGAGAGAGACTTTAATGTCCCCGTGGGTGTGGATGAGGCAACCGAGGCTTGCAGGGAGGGTTAGTGCCTGGCGATTTGGGCCTGGGTTTCCAGCCATGTGTGATATTGGACAGGCAGGCACGACTACTGCCCCACACTACCCCATATCCAGCCCTGCCTAACAAGCTGCTCACAAAGGTCTTGGTCACCAAGATAGAGTGGCCAGAGTATCTATCATCCACTTGGACGAGAGGCGCAGACTTCATACTGCAGCTGGCAGGCTGAGGGACATGTTCCCTCCATACCAAGGTGAACTGGTCATAGCTCCTTCCCTCACGGAATTTGAAGCCCAGCAGGAAGAGGCTCTCCTGCATAATTATTGAGCAGAATCACCAGTGAAGCTGCAGAGAAGAAGGAAAACATGGGTGAAGGTCAGGACATGGGTTGTTCTGGGCATTCAGAGGAGACATATGGGGGGACAGAGACCTTTGCCTGCACATCATCCCTGTGACAAGAGGGCTCTTACTGCAGGACATGCACACATCTGCCCAGACTTCTGCAACCCGGGTCCCTGGATCCGGGATCATTAGCTGTGCCTCTTGCTCTTAAGAACTCACAGCCAGCAACCTTTGGTACTACCTCCTGGTATCTCTATGTCCGGACTGGGTATTTGGGAAGGCTTAAGGACTTATGAGAGTAGGGGACCATCATTTCCCAGCCCAGACCCAAGCTGGGACCCTTAGCTCTGGGAAGAGGCCGTGGCCTGTGTGGGAAGGCTGAGCCACTAGCCCCAGGTGCACCAGGTTCTGGTGGTGTTGCTGGGGCTGAGCAAGGCTGGGTTCTCGGTGCAGAAGGAAGAACTGTGCAGCTCATCTTTTGCCCTGGCTGCCCCTTTTAAATTGAAAACAGAGAAGGAGGGTAGAAAATCTGACTGGTTAAGTTTTAAAACAAGTACAACTCTGCCCTTGCTGGATCCCCTCTTCTCCCATGTAGACTGAACAGTAAAGAGGAGGAAGGGAGGGGAGAGAGAGATGGAGAACAAGGAAATACCAGTTTGGAGGAAAAAAATTTCCCTGGACCCCTTCTGAGCTTGGACTGGGCTTAATTAAAGTTACAGACATGTTTAAAGAGAAGGGGTAGGGCAGTCCAGCCACTCTGAAAACATGTTTTTAATTATACTGTGGAATTTCTCCCTAGGGTATGCTTGTGCACAGCTGAGCGTCAAGGACAAGGAAGGGGTGGGTTGGGGTGCACAGCAGGATGGGGGAGGGGAGAAGCTGCAGCAAAGACCCATAGGGCTGGGGGAAGAAGGCTGGTGGTCTCCGTGGTGCAGGGAGTGAATTGTGAGGCGGCACCACCCCAAATCACACTCACACAATTAGAGCACTAACAGCGATCATCGCTCCACAAATGCTTCCCCAAGATTATGAGCCACCAGCTAGGCCAGAGGCACTCAGCCTGGGCTGCATATTTTGGAATTACCAAGCAGTGTTGAAAAACATCCTGATGTCCCATGGGGCACAGCCTGAGAAGCCCATGTGATCCCAGGCAAGGGGCAGGGATTAGGGGCAGAAAACAGCAGCCTTAATTCATGGAGGTGAATAGGGACACAGGCAGAGTAGTACCAATCTTAGGATCAGGGAGTGAAGGAAGAAAGGACCCTGATCCTGCCCCTCCTGATGGAGGACTGGAAATTGCAAAGCCTTGTACAGACCAGGTGTCTGAACTGCAAGCTAAGCGAGCGCCTGGATGAGCATGACTGGCATTCCCTAGAGGGACAGGATGTACCAGCACGGGTTTGGAAATCTCACCTTGGGACACAGAAGCAAGACTAGCTGGTCCCCGCCCCCAAGCCCTGCAAGCCCCTCTTTATGTACGGAGCAAGGGACAGTATATCACTCATTTCTTAGGAAGTTGTACAGTTCTGAATCCAGAGATAAATGGAGGTCGAACCTAAGAGGCTGCAGATAATTTCACAGCATTTCCTTGTTTATCTGAATGTGAAATGTGCTGTCACTTTCAATGCCCATGTGACCCTTAGGATAACTGTGAGGCAGTAATAAATGGCCCGTGCTTATTGAGTGTTACCTTCTTTTGCCCGACTCTGCTTTCTGTGTTTGGCATTGTTAGCTCATTTCATTCTCAAAAGCGCTCTGGAAGGCAGGTCCGGTATCACCGGCGTTTCACAGATGGCCCCGAAGCACAGAGAGCACGAGCCGGTTGCACAATGCGTGCAGCTGAGAGAAGCAGGTTGGCTAGAACCCCAGTTTGTGGCCCCAGCGTGATCTGCTTCAGTCCTCAGTGTCCACAGCAGAACAAGGTGGCACCATTTCATAGATTAAAACAACAAAACAAAACAGAAAACAATAAACAGACCCAGAGATTAAACAAACCTGTCACTGATTGCAACCCAGATTCTTCCAGCCCCAAATCTGCATCAGTGTTTCACATACCAGGTCACCCTCAGACAGTGCTGCCGAGAAGCCAGCCAGGCATGTGACAGAAAGCCAACATGCAAGCCATTGTCTTAGGAGGAGTCACATAGGAAGAATCCGGACCGGTTGTCTCATTTCTTAGGTGAAGACACTGGGAACGGCCTCCAGCTTCATCACTTGCCCCTGTCACTACATTGCCATCTCGCTGAACCTGTTCCCCAGTTTATCTACTGAAGGGAGGATCTAGGATGGAAGGCCAGAAGTCACTGTCCATAAATTTGGGGTGTAGTTGTTAATTTTTCAGGCTCTTGAGAACCTGGGCCCCGTGTCACTTCCGGTTTCTCGGAGAAGCCTCTGGGACCGGTTTTGACAAAGTTTCACCCATTCCACAAATACTTGTTGGGAACCTGTTATGAGTCCTGCCTCCGATGCTAGAGTCACAGTGGAGGCTGGACAGGAAAGTTCAGAAGGCTGCGGGCACAAGGAGCCCCCACTTATGTGCGTGCGGCAGGAGGGACAAGACAGGGAATGCAGGCTGCAGGGAGGCCAAGAGCCTTGAGAAGTGAGCACCTGAAGGAAGAACCGCCCTTTGTCCTACCTTTATTTGAGCCTATGCTTCCTCTAACACGTCCTCCTTAGATACATTTTGAATAAAACATTGGTAAAAAATTACAACTGCACATTATCACCTATCCCTACACATTGTTTTACTTTTCTTCAATGCATGATCCATTTCATCCCACTTATTTATTTTCTGATTTATTTTCTTTGGCTTCCAGAAGGTCATTTTGAAAATGGGGGCGGGAGGGGGGGGAGAAAGAATAGAAAACACGGGTCTGTGCTTCCTAGCACGAGAGGACCAGACCTTGAGGACCACGTGGTTGGTGGACCACGGCCATCACGTGGTTGAGAGCTTATTTGCATTTCCTTGAAAGAAAAACAACCAAGGGTTAAATAAAACACCACCTGAGGAGGCCCCTAGCTCTCTTCTATACACTCAAGCCTCTATTTCTGTCTGCTTGCTCTAGTTCTCTTTTGGACCTAGTGTGTTTCCTTTCTGAGGTCTCTGGAGAAGCGTGTGGGGAGAACTCTGCTACGTCCTAATTCATGGTCCCCTCCCCCTACATCCCTCCGTAACTCCATATGTCCAAGCTTGATTCTAGCGTGTGGTGCTGCAGAGTGTGATCTGGATTTTCTTTTGGAATCAGGAGTCCTTCGACTCTCAATTGAGCCTGAATGTGAAGTGCAAATACCACCTTTCTACCATGCATTGATTTTAGTGGTCTCTTCCAGGATAAAAACCCAGGACTGTAGGCCCTGCTTTTTTTTTTTTTTTTTTTTTTTTTTTTTTTTTTTTTTTGAGATAGGGTTTCACTATGCAGTTCAGGCTGACCTGAAAACTAACTTTGTAGCCTCCGTCGACCTTGAACTGCAGCAGTCCTCTTGCCTCAGCCTCCCGAGGGCTGGGATTACAGACATTCACCACCACGTCCAGCCTTGCCCTGTTTTCCTTAAGCAACATAAATGTAAGTGGGAAAAATGTTGGAAAACCTGATTTCTATGAGTTTGTGGTGGGTCACAACTTTTCAAAAAGTCACGTGCTGTGGATGGTTCATTCATTGATTCAGTCATTCACTGACCACATAAAAGGTCTATCAAGTACTAGAAACCAATGTAATGGGCAGAGGCAGAAAGTACTGCTCCTAGAAGGCTAGAGTATGCTTCTCATTCTGTTGCAGCTGATGTGACACTGAACGGATCATTTGCCTTTTATGAGGCGCTTTCTTCATCTGCAGAATGAGGGCTGCACGGCCTTTATTATCTGCAGCACCAACTTTACCTAAGAGCTTGTTCAACGCGCAAGGTCTGGTGGGGCCCTCCTGGGACGCAGTCTGCGTTTATGTGCACAGTGACATCTGCAGAGCACCAAGGCGCATAATCTCTGTAATCCCTTTTGGAAGTCTTGTGTTAATTCAGTTTTCTAAAATAGAGGCAACATAGAACCCGAATGACCACAAAATGAGTTAGTACAACAAATCGCAGGGGGCGTGCAGAAGAAGAACAGCTTTCAGTTAAATACAGACATGCATTGCTTAACGATGGGACATGTTCCAGGAAGTGCCTGGTTAGGTGGCTTTGTCATTGTGCGAACATCAGAGAGTCTACTAAACACAAATCTAAGTGATATAACCTTCTAAGTCACTAGGCTTTATGGTTGTATGGTGTGTGTGTGTGTGTGTTATGTGCAAAAGAGATGGTCAATGTTTAAATTTTTAAAATTACAGGACCTGTTGCCATTGTCCTCAAATTATTTAAAATCCCCTCCTTTGCTCTGAACACATGTGTCCCATAATTCTTGATAATGTGTCTTTTACTGTAATGATTTTTAAAATGCAAACAGTCACCATATTTTTCAGTCACTCCCTGTATGTGCGTGCACATGCGCCATGTGCCACTCAGGGGCGGGCACAGGTGTGTGCACAGCCTGCTGCACCCAGAGCCACAAAGAACAAAGCAACACAATAGAAAATGGTGCACTCGGGAGCCATGAGAGGAGGGGCATGCGCGGGCTGCGGCTGATGACGCCCGGTCCACTGGGCGACGAGTGACGCAGAAGGTGCACACTGCATGACTACTGCTACAGGGACCATGAGGAAATCAGTGCGGAGAGTCCTCGCAAAGGGAAGCTCGAGATCCCCTTTGACCCGGCTGCTCCCCGCCGAGGGGTCTGGCTGAGGGATTTAAGGACGTCTCGTTGCACTGGTCCACACATTGCCGTGTGTACAGCACCTAAATCCTGGAAGCAGCCTGTGTGTCTGTTAGTGGATGAATAGATAAAGAAAATGTGGTTTTTTTCCGTACAGTGAAGTGCTACTGTGCCATGAAGAAACATAAATGTGAGTCATTGGTAGGAAAACGGCTGTGATGAAGACAGCAGTGTTAGTGGTGCAGGGCCTGCCTGGCAAGCACGAGGCCCTGAGTTTGATTCTTGGTATCTCCTCTCAAAATAGACTACCACATTAAGTGAAATAAGTCAGCCACAAGGCTTAAATATCACATGGCTTCTCTTACATGAGAACCCCAAAGTATAAAGAGCAAAATAAAACATAGCTAATGGGAAGTAGGGAACTAGATCTTTCTCAAAGGGGAGGGGGAATCAAGATGCCGGGAGGCTGGCTGTGGTGATGCACACCACTCCTATAATCCCAGCACTCAGGAAGCTGAGGCAGGAGGAGTGCCCAAGACCAACCTGGGCTACGTAGTGAGTTCAATGCCAGCCTGAACTCGGTAGTGAGAACCTGTGCCTGTCAAAAAAAACAGAGAGAAAAAGAGAGAGGAGGTGAGGAAGGAAGGAGGGTGGGAGAGGATGTGCGAGGATGAACAGAATTAAAATGTGTGATGTGCATCTACTCACACACAAAAAGTGGCAGCATCAGGTACTACAAAGGTGTACTAAAGGAAAGGAGGCAGGTGAAGAGACGGCTGAAGAGGGAGAGAGGGAATGGGAAGGGGATGAAAAGGGTACTGGGATACATTGTGTACGCGTACCAATCCCCCACAAGGAAACATGTACTAGAAACATGTAGTAATAAAAAGGATAGTATAGTACATACATAAGCCAATAAGTGTCATAGACATTTATTGTCATTATCAAATATGAGGCACTGCAAATAATTTCATACACTATACTTTTATGCAGCACAGTTGGTGAATTTGCACCAGCATCACCAGAAAAATTAAGTAGGGGGTTATGTCACAATGTCACAAGTGTTCACAGGACTTTTTCAGCTCCACTATAGTCTGTGGAGCTACAGCGATATATGTGGCCCACAGCTGAAGAAAACGTCATGTAGTCCAGGACTACACCTCTCCCTGAGTCTAGAGAGCTCGGGAGGGAGGTTGTTTGCTCTGGTACGCCTCCTACCATAACCTGCTAGCATCACTGGTCTTTCTCTTCTTGTTTTATTTCTCCAGATTCGCTTTGTGGTGGAACTCGTGTGGCCTTTATCTTTATTTCTGGTCTTGATCTGGCTAAGGAATGCCAACCCGCTCTACAGCCAGCATGAATGTGAGCACGGGGGAGCCTGGCCCAGCCCCAGCAGACACTGCCAGTCCCTTCAAAAGGAAGGACGGGGGAGGGGGGCGTGCAGGGCGCTGATCTGCTTCAGCATCGTTCCACGGCTGCAGCGTGCCTGAGACCCATCAGCGTTGCAGCTGCTGATGTTGGTCCCGATGCGTTCTTATACTTGTCTGTGGTGCTGAAGAAATGTACGATAGCTTTTTGCTTGTTTTCATTTCGTGGGTTGCTTATTTGTTTATACCTAAGCTCTCACCTTTTAAAAACAGGACAGATTATAGATGATTTCTGTGAGATACATCAGCCTAGTTCTGTTTTTCAATAGTGAGGCTAGTTTAGGGAATACGCGGTACAGGTACTTCAGGAAATAGGAAAACGAGTGTCATGCAACCATACTTCATGAGAGACCATCTCTCTGATCCCAGAGGCTTCTGGGGACCCACAAGAAGCCCTGCAGAAGCTTTTGGAGATGTAGCCTTCGTGGAAAGCCTGCACCCCCCTAGGCAGCCCTCATGAAGGCCTGGAGGTTAAGAAAGTTGCTCTGGCTCTGTGGTTGGTCTTTACCTTACTGACCAGGGGCTTCCAGTTTGCATTTCTCAGTCAACCTCCTATCCAGCAAACGCACCCACCCCAACTCCTATCCCACAGTCCTGCTGCTCTTGGGGGAAGGCGCAAACCCAGTGGTGAAAGGGAAACCAGAATGTCCTTTCCTCATGCCTCAGCAGCCTCCCCGAGCTTTGCCTCACACCCCTCCACGTCATCACTGCAAAGTGAGTGGCGCCCTCTCATACTTCTGTCCCTGCCTCTGCGGGAACACTTGCCCCATCCACATTAGAGGCCGCTGTTCTGAAACAATGAGTTCCTGAGGTCCACCCCACTCCCCTGGCCTGAGCCCTGCTATGCCTGGTGACTAACTCCCTCTTCTCTTCCTGTTTTAAAGGCCATTTTCCTAACAAGGCCATGCCCTCCGCAGGAGTGTTGCCGTGGCTCCAGGGGATTTTCTGCAACGTGAACAATCCTTGTTTTCAAAGCCCCACCCCAGGAGAATCTCCTGGAATTGTGTCAAACTATAACAACTCCGTGTAAGTACTGAGCGTCCTGTGTGCAGGAGGAAGCTGCACACCCTTCCAGCCTCCTTGTGCTCCCCCGTGCACCTACGTGCAAGCACACACAGTGCGCAGTCTGTGGGATGGCCTTTGTGCTGTGCTAACTCTCTAAGAAGGGGCGGAGCAAGCGTCACCTCAGGCTCAGGCTAGCAACTGGCTAGGGCACTGGGGCAGAAGGCTTCAAACTAAGTCCACATGGCACAATTTCTTGGTCTTTGATTTCCAGAGATGTGACCTTGCCCTGGTGGCAGCTCCTGCTGCGACACGTCATCCATCTGCTTGGATGGAGTCACTGTGTGAAAAGAACTCAGTCCCCTCACCCTCTCACTGATCGACCCAGACAGAATTCTCTTCCTTTAAAAGCTTTCTTGGCCACCCTAAGGGGTAAGAAAAAATGCCAGGGAGCATGCTGAGGTTAAATGAAATCAAGTTTGTAAGGTGGAGTTTACTTCTTGGGAGAAAATGAGGGACTCTAAATCCTCTTTAATTGCTGTGGGAGCCCTTGAGAAGCAAGATCTTGGAATAGGGCCTGAGAGCAGAGATTCTTAGCTGTGGGGCTGAAGACTCTTGCAAGAAGCTGATGAAAATGGTTGTGCCTTCTCCTGAGAAAAATGGACCCTCATACACATCTCTGCATTGTACATGTGATGTTAGGGAACTTGCGTATTCCAGGTTAGTGACCTCTGGCTTGGTATTGAATTTCAAGTCAAATCACAGAGGAAGAGAGCACCCCTTTGGGATTTCCTCTGAGTAGTGGGAGGGCAGGAGCTGAGAGTGCCCAGCCTTCAGAGGCTCTGGGATAAAGGCAGCACCCTGTGCTGACCCTGAGCCAACGAGGATTCATTGAGGAGTGGATTTACCCCATTCGTATAAACACCTGGTCAGATGAACAAGGAAGCATTTGGTGACTTCCAGGTTTTTTCAAGAGAAGCTAAATATAATTCCCCCACTTGCATTTAAAAAAGTTGTCTTTTTCCATAGGTCAACCTAATGTTCCAAGGTGCCTGTGTCCTCTAGGAATAGGTTATGATTGACTTTGCCTGCCAGTGGCAGAGTTGTGCCAGAGACTGCATGGTCTGTATAATACCCTGAGATAGCCATCTGTTTGTTGATAAACATCCTGAGATAAACATTTCTGGATTAGAGGAAGATACAGGGAACACTGTTCCTCCCCAGGAAAGTCAGAGAGGTAATGTTTTAGCTGAGTTCTTGTTGCTACACACACAGCTTGAAGCTGTAGTTTACAATCCACACTATGAGACTCTCTGGGTCTCCTGAAAAGAACCATCTCCCCATCCAGAGACTCCCTGGGGCATATCCAGTGGGATCAGAGAGCCCTGGAATCACATCAAGGAGGCTACAAAGACCTGCAGCTGGACAGGCATTGGCAGCATCAGGGGAGGGAGTGAGAAAGGGATCTCCAGACTCTACTTCCATTCATCATCTGAACCAGAAGTATGGTTCGTGTTTCACATACACCTATGGGCAGTATCACCTGTCAGGTTGTTTTTATTTATAAGGCACAGAAACTCATTTCAACAAGTGTAAGCTCTAGGGCTGAGAGCAAATGCTTGCTATGAATACATGATTTAGACCAATGGTGGCAAATTATTTAAAGCTTTCAGTGTAACACCATGTGTGCCGTAAGCTTGCCACCACTAAACATTCCCACTGAGCCAAGAGCAGCCCCAGCAAAGAGGGACAGAGCAGAGGGCCATCCAGAGCTGCTCCCTCAGCCCTTCTGTCTAGGCCAGCATGGTCCAGCCTTTCCCCCTCTCTCCACATGAATGCCATTCACCTCTCTCCATAGGCCACTCTCTCTTGCTTCCCAAAGCCCCAGCCTCATAGATCACCTTGTTCATAGCATTTTGCTTGAGCAGTCACAAGGGCACCCCTGAATCCTGTGTAGGTTCCTAGGAACATAAGTGGCTGCCCCTGCTCAATTTTCTATCCAGTGAACTTTGACAAAGGGATGTGTGTGTGTGTGTTTGCACACACGTGCACTCCCATGCAAGGAAGACCTTATGGATGAAATACGAGCATCAAAGCAACCCCCTATGAATGATTGGAATGGTAAGTTTCAGCAGTGGGTGGAGGCTGAGAAGAGCCTTCAGTACCTACCAACATCATCTGCATAGATTCCTCAGGAAGAGACACAGCGCCAGGTTGCCAGGTGACCCAGCCCTGTCCAAACAAAGACTGAACAAGTTAAGTCTGTCCTACATGAGCAAGGAAGTTTTTAAAGCTTCTTTTTGCAGTGATAGTACTATAAAAAATTAATGTAGTAGAGCTGGCCAAATAGCTCAGCGGATTAAAGCACCTGAAAGCAGGCACAGGGGCCCGATGTTTGATCCCTGGGCCTGCTGCGGCAGCCTCACCCCTGGGACGCGCTGAGACGGACATTGAGACTGGGCGTGGTGGTGCACATCTGTAATTCCAGCTCTTGGGAGGTTGTAAACTAGCGAATCATTGCGAGTCCAATCTAGTAGTGAGACCCTGAACACCCTGTAGACCCTTCCATAAAAATACAAGAAAAGGAATGTAGTAACTGATTCAAACACACTATTATAAAAAAACACAAGGTGTTATTATTATTATTTAAAAAAATCTTCTCTTTATTTGGTACAGGGTCTTACTGTGTAGCTCAGACTCATAGTGATCCTCCTGTCTCAGCCTCCCCAGCACTGGGATTACAGATGTGCACCACCAACATATGGTGTGCTGGGGGTTCCAGGGCTGCACAGTACAGGGGATCAAACTCCTTTTGCTTGCCAGACAGGCGCTTAGATCGATGAGCTATTTCACCAGCCCGATGATGATGATGATGACGATGATAATGATGATGATGATGGTGGTGGTGGTGGTGATGATGATGATGCTACAAAAATGACAGCTTTTTGTTGATAGGGTCTTATCTTTCTTACAGCTTGGCAAAGGTGTTTCGAGATTTTCGGGAGCTCCTTGTAGATGCTCCAGAGAGCCAGCGCCTTGGTGGGGTTTGGACAGACCTCCGCACCTTGTTCCAGCTCATGGACACTCTGCAGACTCACCCTGAGAAGGTTGCAGGTAAGCTAGGCTTTGGTGTTTTCAACCTCCACTTGCTCTCCCTTGTTGCACTCACTGGAGGCTGATGATGGGGGAAGCATGGGGAGAGTCTGTGGGGAAGGATCCTAGAGGAGGCTGGAAGGGATGGGCTGCAAAGGTGCAAGAATCTCCTTGGTGAAGCCACGACCTCAGAGGTAAGAAGTTGCCTCTGCTGGGAGAGCAGGAGGGTCTCATCCCCTGTAAGTCAAGCGATAGAAGGAAAAATGCTAAGAGATGTGGTGCTCTAGGAAGTGCCCAGCTGGATGGAGGTCTAGGAGTTTGTAGAGCATGGGAAAGGTGAAGAGTCCCAGGGAAAGAGCTAACCAGGAGCACAGAAGTAATGCTGAGTATCACTGAGGAGCGTTGGGGGTCAGACAACACATGTTTATCATGACATAAAATACACAGTCAGGCCAGAGAGACAGCTCAGCAGTCTAAGCACCTGCCTGGCAAGCTCAAGGACCCAGAGTTGATCCCCAGTACTGCATGCCGTTTCCGCCCCAGAAACCAGGCATGCTGTGCTGCCCACCAAAACTGGTGTGGTGGTACATACCTGTAATGCCAGCTCTGGAGAGACTGAGATAGGAGGATCATTATGAGTCTGAGCTGCGTAGCAAGACCCTGTACCAAATAAATAAATAAATAAATAAATAAATAATATTTTAAAATGCACAGTGACAGGATTCTTTGCAGTAATAGCATCTGAGGCAGAGCAGGTAAAGAACTAGGAGATGCAGGGAGGCGGGGGGGGGGCTTGTAGGGAGGTACCACAGAAAGTCACATAGGCAAGGGACTGAAGGCAATGATTGTACTGGCTACATCAGGTCTAGGCTGCAAAAGGATGGATAAGAAACCAGAAGTACCAAGATATGCAGGGACAATGGAGAGACAGAGAACAGAGGTCTCAACAGGTTCCCCTAAGTAAGTGAGGAAATAAGCAAGACAGAAGGATGGGTGGCTATAGTCAGAAAATGAAATACTGAAATTTAGGATTTAAAACAAGCTGGGCAGGATGGTGAGAACAAGTCTCCATGGGTGCCAAGGTGATGTGGAGCAGAGGAGAAGGTGAAGGAGAAGGAGAAGGGAAGGGAATGGGAGGCTAAGCTGTGGGGTCGTGCAAGATGGCAGAGCTGGGTGCGCAGGTGGGAAAGCCATTTGGAGTCTGGAGCAGTGAGGAAGGAGGCTGAGGACCTCCCTGCTGTGTCTCTCCTCCCAAAAAAGAAAAGTACAAAACAAATCCCAACAGGAGTAACAACACCACATGTCTTTGTGAAAGCATGAGCCAGCGTTGTGTGGGTGTCCCATCCATAGTGGACTCCCTGGTAGAAGTCCACTGGATAGGCTGCACAAGGCAGCTGGAATTAAATTCCTGGGAGACAGGTAAATGAATGCCTGCAAGGAAGTAAATCCCCTAGAATTCAGGGTCATGCAGTCTGGTGGTGGAGTCCTTCAAGAGAAGGCTGCCAGCAGGGGGAGATCCCTCAGGGAAATGGGGGTCAGATGCTGCGCAGGCAGCAGTTTCTGTGGAGAGACGCAGGCTCCCTTGTGTGGGCCCAGTGACTGCAAGGATGGCCTTTGAGACTGACAGAGTTAGGAAAGTGACCCCTAAGGGCTCTGCTGAAGAGACAAGTGAAGCTGGATGCAACAGCGTGTGCCTCGGCTTCCAACCAAGAAGAGTAAGAGAGCAGAACAAATCAACCCCTCCCCACCAAGCATGTGGGGCAAGACTTTGAGAGTCAGCGGCCCCTGGCACCTGTTGGGAACCAGCCCTGGGCTAATCTCCGGGAGTGGAGGGTGAATTGGGTGGGATTGGACAGTGACCCTGCGTGGGATGCTTGGCGGAGGGTCGCAGGGGCTTCCGGAGCACATGGAGCCAGAGGAGAAACTTCTCCCAAGAGAATGTGATCATCATCCATCTTGCCACCTTCTGCCTGCCAGCCCATGGGAGCAAGAAAGCACAGGAGTGTGCTCAGAGTGGTACACTGAGATGACTGAATTACAGCCTCACGTCTTAAGAGTAGCAAAGTGTGCATTTCACACATTTTCTACAAACCAGATTATAACCAGTGCATTCTTTAGTGCTCTGGAAAGAAGGGTTTATTTTAGTTAGCTCAAATTTGAAGGACTATGTAAAATAGGAGCACAATTTGCATTTTGAACAGTAAGAAAACAACATGTCCAGGAGTGGTACACCAAACCAAAAGTATTCTTTCCAAGGTTAAACAACCAGAAGAACTGGCCATGGCCTGGGCCATCCAGCTCCTAAAGTGACTGCAATGCCCTGCATTGGGCGGGACCTATGATAAGGAAGGCTTTTCATTTAAGTATCTGATCATCACATTGAGTTAGAGGCTAGAGGAAGTGTATGGGAAATAATTCCAAACCGCAGTTTCTTTGTGGTTTGTACAATGTCTGTATAAGAAGAAAAATCACTATTGCCTAATCCAAAAGTAAGACTAATTGCATTGGCCTACAAGTGGTTCTCGCTTCGGACCTTCAGGCTGTGAGGAGAGATCCCTAAAGGACAGCAGCTCTGGGAACATGGGGACAGTGAAGTTCAGGCAAGGCTCCTCAAAGGCTGGGAACAGAGATTTCAGAATCCTCAGGCCTGATGATGTGCAAGGGGCCAGGGATTCAGCCCAGGACAGTATCTGAAGGAATTCCAGACCGCCCAGGGACTGAAGCCCACTGTCAGGCCCATAGAATCTCCTGGAGAGCATCCAGGAGTTACCTGGGATGCACAGCAAAGAGCTGGCCTTTGAAAGCCATGGTAACTGTGGCTGCTCTGTGCTTCTGCCCCTCAGCTCCTAGTCACCTGGGAGAGTATGCAGAGTCTGGCCTGGGCAGTGTTTTCCTTTCCAGCAAACCTGTAGTGCTACATTCTCAGCAGGGGAAGATTAATGGTGAAAGACCAGATGAGAGCCCCCCACGTCTCCAAGCCAGCTCTGTGGTCTCTCAATCATCTTTAAACCCCCTCCGGAGGAGCCAGCTTATGCATTCTCAGTGCCCTGGCCTCCACCCCCACTTCTAATCTTCCCAGGGAAGGAACAAGAAGAACCACATTTCACACAAAATATACTTTTCGGTCCTCAGGCCCTGTTTCACATTTCTCCCTCAGGAATCCATTGAAGAAACTGTCTGGTATCGCCACTGCCTCTCACACTTTGGGCCCCAAACTCCCCTGCAGGTGTGCGCTGAGTCACATGGTCCTGCCCCTTGTGCTCCCTCCAGCAGCCGGGTCACCTGGGTAGTATAGGCTGTCTGGGCAAAAACACTCCCCATTCCTTGTCTGGCCCCTTCTCCCTGGAAGATAGTTGTGTGTAAGGTCAGTGAGTGTGTTAAAGAACAACTATGAAATAGATAACAGAATAGTACCCAAGTCTCAGGTTAGGACCAGAGGTGCCTAGAGAGTGCTCATGCCCTTCCCAGTGAGGCTGTGACTCAGGGTCAGGCCCTAGTGCTCAGTGTCACAGAGAGGTGAGCAGCTCTGCGAGTCAGAAAGGGTGGAGCTGGTGCCCTGAGGAAGGACAGCAGCTGGAGCCCCGTTTGGAACAGGACAAGACTTGAGCTTTGGAACATGAGAGAAGCCCCTCTCCCAGCCCTCCCACTCCCTTGAAGGACTGAGTTCAGGTCCTCAGGGCACCTCCAACTGCTTCTTGGCAAGGAGCAGTGACACTGGGCTACCAACGGAGAGGTCTCTGGCTTGCTAGGTTGACCCAAACTCCTTTAAGAAGACATTGTCAGCCATATTGAGCCAGACAAGGAGCTGTACAGGGAATGTCACCCTGCAAATGGAAAGGAACTGCCTGCAGACGGGAAGGCCAGGATGGGAGAGAATGGCTTGCTGTGGAGTTGGGCCAGGAGGAAGCAGGGGCACTGGATGGTTCAAGCTAGTTCATGGAAAGCTAGAGTGTGGGGTGTGGAGCAGGCATTTCATCCAAACCAGAGTCTGCCTCTGGGTTCAAATGGCTTTGTAGAGGTCTGGAACAGCAAGCTCCTCACTGGCCCACATCTCATGCGGTGCAATCTTTAGGCCGAATGTGGGCAGTAGAGGGATGGAAGGTGGGTACTGGGGAGAAGCCCAGGAAGGATGAGAACCATGTCTATGCCACTAGAACACGCATTTGCTGAGTGCTGTTTTCAGGCCCAGAAGCTAAGCATTTCACATTCCTGATCCTGCCCACATCTTAACACTTTGGCAGGTAGACAAAGAAAGTGTGGATGCCGAGAGAGGTTCAGGCCCTTGCCCCCCAGCCACCTCAACAGTCAGGAGCCCTTGGTGCCTGGAGTATTTCTGTCTCCAGCAGGTTTTTCTTTTGCTGTTGTTGGGTTTGGAGGAGAATTTTATTTTGTTTGCCAGTATTGAGGATCAATCTCAGGGCCTTTCCATTAAGCTACATACTCAGCAACTTTTATATTTTCAGACAGGGTTTCACTAAGTCACTAAGTTGCTCAGGATGGGTTCAAATTTAGGATCCTCCTGGCTTAGGCTCCAGAGTTCTGGGATTATAGGCATGTTGCCACCACAAGACTAAGCTTCTGGCAGTTCTTGAGTGAAGGCGCAGAGGCTCTGCTTTTTCCATTTGAACCTTTTCTTGCCCTCATGAGCTCATCTGTTTTTGTCCATGCTGATACCCTGAGCTTGAATCATGAGCTAAGATGACAGAAGTGCCAGCAAGGTCCCCTACCCTGTGAAAACTGCAGTGTGGACAGGTTATATATCTCTTCCAAAGCCAGGCCAGCACCACTGGCACTTGGGGGCCAGACAACTCTTTACTTGGAGAGGTAGAGTTGTTCTGTGCATTGTGCAAATTTTAGCAGCATCCCTGGCCTCCAACCATTAGCACCAGTTCTGTTGTGACAACTGAAGCTCCAGATAGTGTCAGATATTCCCAGGGCACAAAACTGTCCTTCTGCGACTCTCCACCCAGACCCTGTTGAGAGCCACTATTCTAGATCAACCCCGAGAACCACCAAACAAGTACTTCACCCTAGGCTAGCTGTCGCACCTCTGTGCCTCCCGGCTTCACTAGCAAGTGCTGGGGCAGCATTGCCGGCAGCTACTGTCACCTGGGCTCCAGGTATTCCCAGGGCACCCAAAACAGAGCCTCCTCTGGAAATCAAGTTATAAATGTTTCTAGTCTACTCCAGCTACTTTCCTTTTCTTAACCCATCTTTCTTTCCATGCCCTATTCTTCTTCTCATTCATACATAGGAAGAGGAATACAAATTCGGGATATCCTAAAAGATGAAGAGACACTGACACTATTTCTCATGAGAAACATTGGCCTGTCCAACTCAGTGGCTTACCTTCTGGTCAACTCCCAAGTCCGTGTGGAGCAGGTAGGTGGGTGTCATTGGTCAGTGTTCCTTGGAGGGGTGGGGTGAGCACTGAATTTGAGAAAGGTGAGAGAGACCTCAGCTTTTCTTTTTCCTTAAACTATTCAGGGTCCATGAGTCATGCCCCAGATTTAGAAAGTACCGGGGATCACTGAGATGATGAGCGTTCTCACAGCAGCACTGTGAAGCACACAGATCCTGGCAACACTGAAAATACCTTAAGTTTTGTTACTGGAAGGAAGCTGAGCTTCAGGGCTGAGGGAATTGGGAGCAATGTATTTGCTAGCCAAATATTGAAACCATTGTGAACCAATCCTGCAGAGACCTTGCCTCAGAGAGCTCACATTCCAGAGGGACTGTTTGTAGCTGTCAAGAACTGTTGCAGGGGGCAGGAGAGATGTGTGGCAGGGACAGTGTAAGACGGGTGATGAGAGAAGGACTCCCTGAGTGCTTACTGGAGCAGCCCTCACTGAAGAGAAGGCAACCACACAGGCAACTGTGGGAGAGCTCTCGCATGAACTGGCCCTGGCCAAAAACTGGCTTGGGCCAAAACCTAGTGGTGCAGTCTCTGAGTCTGCTAAGGTCGCCTCCTGAGGTTACTGAGTCTGACACTGGCAAGCGAGGAGGCAGCATCCTCTTTATTGGACCACTAGTGCCAGGTAAGCCCCTTCTTGCATGTTCCTACAGCATTTCTAACTTATCCCTCCCCAAATCTATTTCATTCATGTTAGTGATTTCCCATATGTACACAGAGCGCCCTTGCCACACACATGTGACTGTCCCTCCGTGAGCTCCTTTGTCCCTCACAATAACCTGAGACGAGGTGTCCAGTGATGGCATGATTTGCACACAGATACTGAAAGAAATGGTCATAGCTGGAGTAGAGCATAGATCTTATTGCTATTCCTATATTTCTTTCTGTAGCCCAGTGGTTCTCACAGTCTGGCCACCACCACATCAGTGACACCTGGGCACTTATTAGGAGTGCAAGTTTCAAAGTCCCACCCCAAGCTGGCAAAGTCCAGAACTTTGGGAAGGAGGCTTGGGCTCAAGAATCACAGGGAGAATGCAGGATCACAGTGGCTAAGGACTCAATACACCCTCTGACTTCCTTCCTGGCCAGGTCTGAGCCCCCTTTCATCTAGCAGGGAGACCAAGACATATAGACAGAATTATTAGGGCTATCAGCCCTGACCCAAAAATTTGCACAGGTGCTGTCCTGGCCTGGACCAAGCAGGGGATCCCACTCCACATGGAGGTGAGCAGTTCTGTGGAGGGTGTTTTCATGCTGGTTCTTACATCTCAGTGAGGGAGCCCATGCTTGTTTTTCTGACTACTCAGACTGTGAGGTTGCCATCAAAACCCAGTGAGGGTAAGGCTGGCCAGACAACTCAGCATCTTAAAGCGACTGCTTAGGCAGATGCAGGGACTGGGGTTCAATCCCTAGCCTGCTCTGCCAGCCCTGCCCCTGGGACACACTGAGATGGAGATTCAGACTGGCTGTGGTGGCACATTCCTATAATCCCAGTCTTGGCAGGCTGAAAACAGGAGGATCATTGAGTCCAATCTGTGTAGTAAGACCCTGTAGACACTGTAATTAAAAAAAAAAAAAAGAGGCTTTCACAGAGAGCACATTGGCCAAGCAATGGCCATGACTCATCCACATGGCTGACACTGACAAAGGTTCTACAATCTGAGGTACAGAATCTCAGGATAAATCCTGAGGGGATTTCACTGACCTTATCAGACCCAAAAGCTACAACTCTTGTTGCATAGGTCCTGCTTTACCTTGGTCTTAACCATCCAGCAGAAAAATATAAAAATGAAATATAAGAAGTAAAGCCATGCTGGTATGTTGAGCTATAGGGGACTCAGGTCAACAATTTCTGACATTGCCAGTCAAGCGGAAGACCCAATACTATTATGGGCTACTGGACTCTTTTAGAATATCTTGCTTAGTTTACACACCTATAATATTCAAATAACAGAACTTAACAAAAAAAAAAAAGGGGGGGGAGGGCTGGTGAGTTGGCTCAGTGGTCTAAAGCACCAACTTAGAACAAGCTAAGCTAAGCAAAACACAGGGACCGCAGTTCAATCTCCCAGCACCAAATGCCAGCCAGACCTGCCTCCTGGTGGCGAAATGAAATGAATACGCTTCTGAACATCAAAGGGCCGGGGAGATGGCTCAGTGGAATAAGTGCTTCCCTGGCAAGCGCAAGGTCCTGAGTTCAATCCCGGTTCCACAAAAAAAAAAAAGGAAGTAGCAAAGTAAAGAGAAAACCTCCATACTATGAACAGTTTGGCCAGTTACTGCTCAGACATAAGACTAATATCAATAAAGAATTCAAAAGATTCCAACCTCCCCTTTATCCCCCCAAAATCAAGCTGGGTATAGTGGTGCATATCTGTAATCCTAGGACTTTGGAGGTTGAGTAAAGTCACCAGGAATTTAAAGCCAATTTGAGTTTAATGGTTAGTTCAAGGCCAGTCTTAAATGCATAGAAGATCCTGTCTGCAAACAAACAAGAGATCCCCTGAAAAAATAGGGAAGTGAAATAAAGATGCATTTGCTAGGAGTACAAGTGGTGAATAAATAACTGAAACGAGGTTGACTTCATGTGGTAATTGGATATATGCAAATTAAATCAACATGGAGATTCTATCTTACTCCAAAAATAATGGACATCATCAATAAATCAAATAATAAGAAACACTTATATCTTTGCAGTAAAGGAACACTTCTACATTGTTAGTCACACTGTAAACTGCCACAATAACTATGGAAATTCATATGGAGTTTCCTCAATAAATTAAAAGTGGATATTCCATTTGACCAAGCTATTCACTTTCTAGGTGTTATCCCGAAGCAATAAATACATTATATTATAGTGGTGCATACACATTCAGTTCTAGAGAAACACAATTCATATAGTGAAATCTTTAAAGTTTGTCTATATATTCACTACCATCTGAATAGATACTGAAAAATGTGTTTATACAAAATGAAGTACTGCTCTCCCATAAGGAAAGATAAAACTGAGTCACTTGTAGAAAAGTAAATGCAATTTGAAACCATTATGTTAAGTGAATTAAATAAGACATAATAGCTTAAAAAAAAAAAAAAAAAGAAAGAAAGCAAGCAAGAAAGGGGGCCGGGGAGATGGCTCAGTAGAATAAGCACTTGCCTGGCAAATACAAGGGCCTGAGTTCAATCCCTGAAAAAAAAAAAAAAAAAGAAAGAAAGAAAGAAAGAAAGAAAAGAAAGACAAAAAGAAAAAGAAAAGAAATGCGGCAAGAGAAACTGAGGTTAAGCTCCTGGCCAGGCCCAGAGGCAGGCCTGACTCCTGGCACTTCCCAGCATCCCCTATACCCCCACCCAAGGAGAAGTTCTTAAAACACCAATTGCCCATTTCCCCCTCACTTTTTCTTCAGCTCATAAAACACCAGTGCTGGCAATTCTTGCGATGATTTCCAGTTGGTAATAAAAAGAAGATGGAGATAAGGGCAGGAATTTAGGGGAAATTTCTCTTGGGTTCCTACTGATATGACCTTTGGAGCTCTAGTTGCTGCACTTCTGGCAGCAGGAATGAGGCCTTTCACAGGGAGGTCAGGATTATTAGGCTATGACTTTGTGGAGTGTCCAAGTGTCCCTGTCTCTGAGTAGCTAGCGAGCAGGGCCAGGAGCTTGCTCTGCTTTGCAGGGGTCGTTCGCACCAGCCTGACCCCTCTGTGCCTCCTGGCCCCCTGAGCTTCTCTGCCTATTTTCTAGCTCTCAGTCTCAACCTCAACCACATCCAGCTCTGATTGTATCAGTGCCATCCACTAAAACTTTCAGCCATGAGGGCAACATCCACTCTTTTATGTGCCCCAAGCAGCTGTACAACTGACCATCTTCATTACCAGGGAATTTGTGTTCTTTACTGTCAGAAATAAATATCCTTCTGGGTCCTTGCTGCTTGTTTTCTGGGCCCAACTCCAAAGGCAGTCGTCACCCCTTGCTCCATCTAGGGAACTCTCAGAGCATGAAATGCTACAGTTCCCTGGCTCATCACCCTGGAAACTCCTAAACATGGTTCAAGGCCCAAATCAAATGCTGCATCCTCAGTAAAAACACTTATAAACCTCCTTTCTTTGTCCCACCCACTCCCTCTTCCCTCCTTGCCAAAGAGCTAATGGGGGAGTGATTAAGCTCTGGATTCTGACCTCAGCAAGACCACACACTTATGTGTGTGACCTCAGGCAGATTAATGAACCGCTCTATGCCTGTTTCCTCTTTTGTAATTGGGAAGAATACAGTGTAAACCATATATGGTGGTTGTGGTGGTTAGAAGAGTGAATGCATATGGAGTATTTAGAATGGTGTCTGACACACAGTAAACAGTAAGTGTGAACTACTTTCACTAGCTGTTCATCTCTGTTTCCCAGTCCCTGTCCTGCACCCCACACAATGAAAAGTCAGTGCACAGGCCTTGAGAGAATGAGGAACTTCCGTCGTGTCCCACAAGCCAGCTGTGGAGGTTTCTCACGTGACCCATCCTCCACTACTTTCCTCCTGTGGAATATAAGAGGTTTGGACAAAGTGAGCCTAGTGACTCCCTCCACTTCAAAATGTTCCTCACTCTGGGATTAGAGGTGGGGGCAGGGTTTGCCTAAGGATAAGAAGTGAGGTGTGGAAAAAAGAGGCTTTGTAGGATCATACTCCTAGGTATAGGGCACTGGGACTGCAGAAGCCATGGCTGGGTTTTCATTAGCTGTGGTCTGTGCCTCATGTGGACCAGGCTTTCTAGTCTGATCTAAACAGTTTCCATTCAGGGGTGGCATAGCCTGGGCCTACTCTGCTCCCCAGCCCAGAAATCTGTATAACTGGAAGCCACATGAAGGCTGCAGTGCCCTGATAATGTCACCATTTTCATGGTACACGAGTCTTACCTCTGCAGGAAACCTGGGACATCAGGAAGCCAAGTATTTATTTATTTATTTTGTATTTTAGGGAAGGTTCTACAGGATTTGTAGGGTCTCACTACTAGATTGGACTCATGATCCACCTGTTTACTGCCTCCCAAGAACTGGAATTACAGGCCCATGCCACCACGCCCAGTCTCAGTTGCTGTCTCAGCGTACCCTGGGGGCAGGGCTGTCAGGGCAGGCCCAGAGATCGAACCCCCAGCCCCTGTGCCTACTTGCAGGTACTTTAATCCACTGAGCTATTGTCCATTGAGCTGCCCAGGAAGCCAATTATTTAGAATGGTGTCTGACACACAGTAAACAGTCAAGACCCCTGACTTGCTTGGCTTGCTAATATTCTCTGCCTCGGTAACCTCTGGAAGCCAACATGGACATGGTGCATCCCAGTCACTGTTTATTATGAGTCCTCCAGGAACTGCAGGACGTGAGCTTTCCAGACCTTAGGGTTGTAAGTAAAACACAGGGTGCCTACTTAAATCCAAATTTCAGCTAAATTGTAGGAGACACTTCCAGGTCCTCCTCTCTGTCCAAGAAGCCAATTATTTGTAATCCCAAAGTTACGTTATTGGAATCCCATCAAGTTGATTCCAATTTACCACTTACAATGCAACCCATGGCGAAAATAAAGACACTAAATTATATCTTCAATCATCGGGGAGTCAAGGGGCTCTAAGTCCAGCCACAAAGATGGCTTTCCGGAACCAAGAGAGCGACCCAGGGCCTCACCCAGTTTTATTCAGTGGGGGAGTGGCTTGAGGATTGACTGAAAACTGTGGCAAAGAGACAATAATGAGCTGAGGTAGGTTGTGGCCTAAATTTACCTCTGCGGTATGCAGAGAGGATATGCAGAGAGATTAATCTGCATTATATAGTATCTAATGTTTTATTTTTAATTTTTATTTTATT